TATATATATATATATTGGGATTATTGTTTGCAATTTTTATGTTAGACATTACCTCCATTCAATTAATCCTAAGCAACTCAATTAATTTTTGGTGATAAACTTTGTCATGTTCTCTTTTTTGACGGCAGTGGTCTCTTCATTGAACCAGAAGAAAAATAAGAATCAACTAATTAGGTTTCTATGATGGCATATTAAAATCGAAAACAACTGATAAATTAATAAAAGAACGTACGGCAAAATTTGTGCTTTCTTTTGTTTAATTTGTTTTAATTTAATTTAATATTTTCAAAACTAACTTAAGTAGTTAGATTAAAATATTTAAGAAATTGCATTAACTGGTTTAATTTTAATTTCTTTATACATAAAATCACGTCAAGACAAAGCGGTTGGTGGACAAATACAGTACAATTAAATAAATCCATTTACGTGCAAATGAGAAGTGGTGACTCGGTTCTATAACTTTTTCTCCTTTATTAGGTACCTTTACTTTACTGATTAGGTTTTGTGCTTGCAGCACGAAATAATTATTGTACTTTGTATTCTAGTTATCTACTAGTAGCACCACGTGACAATCTAATGCCAAAACAATTATTGAATAGTTATCATGAGAATAGATAGTACGGCACAGGGCGGCAAACGGGCATGTTGGGTCGGATATGAGACGGGTAAAAAACGAGTAATGAAAAAATAGATAAATTATCTGATCCGATCCGTAATAAAGATAAAAAAAATGGGTTAATCGACGGATAATATGGTACACATGACTTTTTGAATATGATTATTTTTTGGAGAATTTCTAGTCCCCCAAATTTGAGAAACTCCCAATTTGATGTCTTGCAAATTTAAAAGTTAAACTTATCAGTAATCTATTGGTTATCCATTTTCTAAATAAATAATATGATTTTATCCATATTTGATCCATTTTAAAAAAAGAAAAGAATTTTCATATTTACTTATGGATTTATAAGAAATTCTATAATCTACAACTTTTAAAATAATAATATATTCTACAACATAATATGATCAATGTATAAAAAATGTACCCTAAAATACTGTGGCGTTCCTATAAAAAGGGTATCTGATTGCGAAACGTATCCATAATTATTCCCTTGAAATTCTCAATTTGGTTAATTATAGATTATTAATATAAATGCTCCATAAAAACTCACTCCATCCTCCATTAAAATAGGTTCTCCATCTTGGGATTCTTTTATTCTTTCAATTTCATTCTCTACTTTGTATTCCTACAGTCAATTCATCACCATTTTCGCAACATCATTTTAATTAGAGAAAATCAATTTTCAAGATGTATGATGAGTTATTAGGTTTGACAATTATACATTATATAGTATATATATA